AAGATGAGAAGCCATGGGAAAGCCTGGTGCCACCCATGGCGGATACCACTTCCATATGTCTGGAGCCACTGGGGGTATGGATGTCAGGGCATGAAGTAGCAATAGATGAACATATTCCCAGGCTCTCCTCGGTCTCAGGATGAAGATTAGCTGCACACATTCGCCTGCTCAGCTGCCTTGCCTTACCTCTCGCTCCCTGCGATGTAGGTAAGTTGTGTAAAAGAGGGAAGGAAAAGGACGTATGGAGAAATTTTGAGACCACTTGTTCCATAGTACAAGGAGGTCTGGTATTAGAAGGGCACGGGCTTTGGAAGTATGGAGTCATGTGATGTGAATACATTTGGGTTTCCACCAGCCAAATCTAAATTTTCAACCCAGAAATTATGGTGATACCTTGAATTGGGAAAAATCAGAGCTTTCTTCCATGAGTGAAAGTAGGGGTCAAGATCAACGTCACTTAGAAGTCGAGTTTATGCTTAAGAAGAGGGGCAAAGGACATTTCTGCACATATGAGTTGTTATTCTGACACAGAATATACATACACCTGCACGTACATCTTTTGTAAAATAGGAATTAAGATGCTTAGCTTGTAAGTTTCTTGAGGTAAATAAGTGTCTCCTATTTGAAAATATTTTACAATTATTCTTTCACCATTGCAATTATTATTATTATTATTATTATTATTTTGGAGAGGATTTTACTACAGGGCATGTGCATGCACCAGAGAGACAGAAAGCGAGAAATCACCCTCCCCCCAGGGGGATGACCACACCGCAATCCCTTCTCCTTTCTCCTCTTGGACTCTTGGGCATGCACACACATGCGCCCGGTGTGGATTTAAGCCACTGGATCTGGGAATCGAACCACGGGAGTTCAGTGACATAGTCATTACACCAACTGCTGGTCCCTCACCATTGCAATTATTGTTTTGATCTTTATTGTTTCATCTTACTCATTCCCAAAGTTAATGATGAATGTAACAAGTGCAGAGTCAAATGCAAAGTGGAGCAGAATCAAATTATTCTCCCACAGTATCAGCTAAGGATCCAAGAGTTCTTTACCCCAAGAACTTGACTTTGGATTATTATTGATCAAAATTAGAGTTACTCAGAGACTTGTACACAGTCTAGTGCAGAACGCAGATTTATTCACTCAAATTTATTTGCTGAAATCTTTTTTTTTGTTGCCAGCAGAAGGTGAAGTGGAAAGTTGGAAATAATCCTGAAAAGCTGGTCAGTAAGGCCGCCAAACCAGATAATAAGGTGAAAATAATTCTCAGCACCATATTCTTAGAACTTATAGTGTACAAATTATCTGCAGCTGTGAATAATTTGTAATATTTCGGCAATGGGTACAATTCTTACTTTTCAACTGAAATCGTCTGGCTTGGATCTCTCTATAAATTCTTTGGCCAACTTTCTGTCCTCTTTTGTACTGTACAGATTGGTCAAATCCAGACTCCTAAGAGACTAGGTCATTTTAGTTCTTAATTTTGTAAAATAAAGCCAAACTATTTAATAAGTTATTGTTTTTGTTTATTGATATATACCAACTCTTGATAAAAGGTTTAAATAATCCAAATGTTAACTTCGTGCTTATTTGGAAATTGAGAGTTAGGAGTAATTTGGCTAGCCCAAAGACAGAAAGAATGTTAACACTGAGTATAGCCAGATTTTTCTCCATCATTCTAAACAGATCATTTGAAAGAATAGCTTTAATATTTTCTTTGGGAGAGCTAGCTGGCATACATTCCCAGAGATCTTTTAACAGAGAAGTTTCAAGGAGAAAAAATATATAAAGGAAATGTAAAGTGTAAGAGATAGAACACTGCTATGAGCCTGGTGAGTGGAAACTTCAAACAAATGTTACAAAGTTTTGATTTCTAGGACATGAACCATGAAAAGTGGAATATAAAAGAAAAGTTACAAAGTGACAAAAAGGGTTGAATCATACCAGCATGCATTCAAAAATATGGTATGAACTATAAGAACTTGTTCCAAAGTAATAGGATATATTTTCATTCTTGGAAGCAAGCTCTCTAAATCAGAAAAAATGCCAAGACCAAGAAATTGGATTGAGTTTCTTCCTCAAGCTTTTAACCTGGCCATTGTTTTCAGTGTTAAAGAAGGTCTACAGCTGTAAATAATTTGCACTCCAAAAGTTAGAAGAATGGGGTTGAGAGAAATACTAGTCACCCGATCTGGGAGTTGGAGAGAAAGAGAAGGTTAACTTGATAGGTTCTTCAGTATCCAAGAAATTGGTCTGCTTCACATGTGGTAAAGAGAAGATTAAATCTATCAAAGAGAAGGGAAAAATAAAACAAAAATGAAAACAAAGATTTTTAAAGATAATCTTCAAATCGTAATTTTTTTCAGACCGTTTTTTAATTTGATGTATATACTGAATTGACAAAAACACTTAAATGAATAAAATCTTGTATAGCATTCTAATATAAATTTATCTTACTTGTGAATTAGCACTTAAATGTAATTGGTTTTTGAGAAGCTCTGCTTAAATTTTTTCTTTCTTTCTTTTGTTTTTAATTGTCAGAGGACACATGTGCTTGGTTGGCAGGGAGAGACGGAGACAGAGTGTGTGAGAGAAAGCAGCACCCCATGGGACAGTCATGCTGCAGTCCCTTCTTTTCTTCATCCTCTCGGGATTTGGGGATTTGGGACTTTGCAACCGACAGAGGACAGGATCCAAACTGTGGTTGGCCATGTGGGATCTGCCTTCCTAGGCACAACACTTAACTCTCGTGCTACAGGGCCTGCCCCAAAGCTACAGTTTTCAAGTCTATAAAATGTGCACAATATTACATTATTTGTTGGCTCTCTCTCGCTACTGGTGGAATTTTTAGAAGTTGTAAAAATATTCATTTTTTAAATTAGTTTGCCATAGGGTGCATAAGCTCACCAGAAAGAGAGAAAGAGAGAGAGAGGGAGAGCAAGAAAGCATCCCCTCCCATCCGTTGGCAGGTGGTCACACTGCAATCGAATTGTGGGCGCACAGGCACATGGGTCTCGCATGTTTTTCAAGCCACCACGTCCAGGATTCAAGCTGTACAATCAGCCATGTGAGATCAAGCCGCCTTACCTACCACACCAACAACTGGCCCTGTGAAAACATTCCTTAATTTTACTAGACGTTCATCCAAAACATAAGTATGCTTGATGCTGACAGCTATTAAAATACCTGAGTGGGAACACTAAGGTGATACCGCTGACTTTCACAGTAGCACTACATTTACTTATGACTAAATATTTGCTTTCAAACACATATATTTTCCTTTGAAAAATAAAAATAATGATAATACTGTAATTATTCTAGTCAAATATTATTATATATCAATTCAGTCAAAGCTTTTACCCAAAATAGAAATTTAGTTTGTGGTAAGAGAAAAAGTTTGAAAATGTGTGGTTTTTAAAAAAATGATTTGGTGGCCAGCAGGTAGTGTGGTGGTTAAGGCAGCTGGATTCCCACACGGTTGACCATGGTTTGAGTCCTGGACTCAGTGGCTTGAAAAATCACATTGGGGGTGTGTATTTTCCCAAAATCCCAAGAGGAGATGGAAGAGACGATATTGAAGCATGGACATCCCTACTAGGGGGTGATTTCTCACTTTCCCTTTCTCTATCTCTGTCTCTCTCCAGGAAGCACACAAGACCTGTGGCAAAAACATTTTTAAAAAAGTACATATCATTTGTAAAAGGGTCAAGTAAATGTGACTGTAATCTTGTTTAAATATCTGATATAAGAGGAAGTATTAAAACCCGACAAGATTACTAATCAGGCCAGTGTTTCACTAACATTTGTCAGTGGTCACTGTTGAAGTTATTCTTTTTATTGGTGATTAATTTTTTTTGTAATCCTAGTTTCTTTGAATAAGAAATTGCATCTAGAGACTACTTATTGAGTGTTAGGGGTAGTCTTTGCTGCCATGTTTGTCATTAGTTATAGGTCTCTTAAAAAGCTAAGACTTGTGTGTGTTTGTGTGTGTGTGTGTGTGTGTGTGTGTGTGTAATACAAGAATACTTCAAAAGTTTGTGGAAAATGGAAATATTTTGAGGTGAAGAATTTTAAATCCATGTGTAGATTTTTGTAATATGCATTTTACATGAACTTTTGAAGACTATCTTCCCCCTGCTCTGTATATAAGGGGATTCAAGAAGTTTGTGTAGGGACCAGCAGTTAGCACAATGGCTATGTCGCTGGACTCCCACATAGTCGACCGTGGTTCGCATACTGGACCCGGTGGCTTAAAACTCATGCCGGGCGTGTGTGCGTGCGTGCCCATGATCCCGAGAGGAGAATGGAGGAGAAGGGATTGCGGCGTGGCCATCCCCCCTGGGGGGTGATTTCTCGCTTTCTATCTCTGTCTCTCTCTGTCTGTCTGGCGAGTGCACGCACCCTATAGCAAAAACCTCTCCAAAAAAAAAAAAAAAAAAGAAAGAAAAAAAAAGTTTGTGTAGAAATGGAATTCAAGTATGAGTTTATAGGGTCCAGCCTGTAACCGAGCAGTTAAGGAAACCAGAGGCCACATGGCTGACTGATTTAAATCTTGGCCTTAGTGCCATGGAAAATATGTATGTATGTATGTACACGCATGCGTACCCCAAATATTATTGGGATGGAAAAATGGAGGAGAAAGGATTGTGACCGATTGGGGTGCTTCTTGCTCTTTCTCTCTCTCTGTTAGTTTCTGGTGAGGGCACACACACACACACACACACACACCCTTGGCAATTAAAACAAAGTATGAGTTAATTTTCATGCACGTAATTTTTAAATTCATGCCGAGTTTTTCATCCCATGCATTTTTCACAAATTTTTTGAGACCCTTTGTAGTTAGAAATGGTTATATATAATAACAGTACATATGTATTTACATAAAATGCAGAATTTATCTCCTTGCTACTACGATTCAAAATCTGGATGAAATTTCTATTGAGGTCTTCCAGTCTTACCTCTGTTTCTCTTTTCTTTATGTTGCAAAGCCTAGTTCTTGATGACAGTGAGGATGACAGCCAGTCATTTGTTGCTTAACAATGGAAATGCATCCTGAGAAATGCATCGTTAGGTGATTTCTCCATCTGAGTGAAGTCATGGAGTGCACTTGTACAACCGAGCTGGCATCACCTACTACACGTCTAGACTGCGCTGTGGCCTACACGCTCCTGATGGCACCGTGGAACACAAGGTGTGCTCTTGACCCAGTGTTGTTTTGTAGTGCATGAGTGTATTAGCTCACCACATGTTACATAAATTCTCATGTGCTTTCTCCACAGAATACACACAACAGTCTCAGAGTAACAGCAGTAACCTTACCACAGGATTAGGATTGCTAAAAATAGTTTAATTTTCTTCACAGGTAATTTTTTTCAAATTATCCCAATTTTAATAACTTAAAGACATTGATTATAGAATGGTTATACTACTAACTGGATACATCTGTGAACTTATTTGCTTCATTTTCTTTTAGAGTTTTAGAAGTTGATTATTTTTCAGTATAATTCTACATATTCCCAAAGATGTCTCTAGAAAAGAAGGTGTACATAAATTTATCTTCTGTCCTGTGCTCTAACCCTCGCACCCTCTAGCAAATGTTAAAAAAAAGTTTTATCCATTATTGTAGTATAATATACATTAAAATATATTAACATATACATATTTTATATATATAATATATTCATATTTTGCCTTTCTTGAATATAATATATCATGCTTTCTTTTCTGTCTTTCACTTTTTTGCTTTTATATTAATATTTTACATATTACTTTGTTATCATGTATGGAAATATCTCTCATTCCTTCTATACAACTGAATACTACTTTCTTGTGTTGTTATATTACAATTTATGTATTAATTCATTCTAATGTTGACAGATATTTGTGCTATTTCCAGTCTATGCTTTTTCAATTATTATCGCAATTAATGGTCTTGTTATATGTATTTTTGTATGCTTGCCAATTTAAATTTGGTGTATACTTCTCTCTTTTATTTCAATTTTGCTAGTGGGTGTATGTGCCTGCCAGAGAGAGAGCATGTGAGAAAGAGACGAGGTGTGAAAGCATCCCCATGGGGCGTGATCACGTCGCATGTGCCTTCCTCCTCCATTTCTCCCTCCTGTTGGGATTTTGGACATGCATATGTACTAGCCCAGCAGGTTTTTCAAGCCAGTAGGTCCAAGACTTGAACTGTATAGTTAACCATGTGGGATCAAGCCACCATAACCACCATGCCACTGGCTGGCACTTGGTACATAATTTTCTTCTTCCTTCCTTCCTTCCTTCCTTCCTTCCTTCCTTCCTTCTTCCCTTTTTTTTTTTTTAGAGAGAGAGATTTTTGCTATAAAGCACATGCATTTGCTGGAGACAGAGAGAGATAGAGAGAAAGCGAGAAACCACTCCCCAGAGGGGATGGACATGTTGTAGTCCTTTCTCCTCCAACTCCTTTTGGAATTTTGGTCATGCACTCCCATGCAACCAGCTTGAGTTTCAAGCCACTGGTCTGGGACTTGAAATGTAGTCAACCCTGTGGGAGTCCAGTGCCTTAACTATTACACCATCTGCTGGCCCCAGTACATATTGCTCAGAGTAGCATTGCCACTGCTTGAAAAGGTAGAAAGGCATATGTAATTTTACTAGATAGCACCAGATTTCTCTCATTATATGCAAGATCATTTTTAAGTTGTTTGTTTAAACTCAGATTTATATAAGAGACGTACAGTGCGTTTGGTTCATATGTACTTTGTTTCACTTTATCTATAGGTTACTTTTTCTTTCTAATTTGAAAATTTGTTTATTCTTCTCTGTGTTTTTTTATAAACTGAATGCTAGGTTTAGAAGTTTGCTGCGGTCTAGGTTATTTGGTAGGGTATTCGAGAAGTGTTGGTACTTCCATCAGGAGGCATGTGAAAACTGGGTATTCTCCTTAAGTGATGCAAGTAGCCATTTCCTGGATTCATTATTAATTAGTGATATAACAAGCGATGATATTCTAATTCTATTGTAATATGTTTTGATAATTTATTTGTCCCATTTTCTTTGTGTCCTCACTTAGGAATTGTGATTAGGTGTATGTCTTATATTTCCACATCATCCTGCATATTTCTTAACTTGCAGTGCTTATTTGCCAACTCTTTTATCTCTGGAATGTATTCTGGTGATTTCTTTTGCTTTTATTTCCAAGTTTACTAATTATCACCTCAGCTGGATCCAATCTACTAGTTAACTTCCTGCAATATATTTAAAATTTCTCAGTCATTTAGTTTTCATATTTAGAATTTCTCTTTAAATAAAGACTACTTGGACTTCTCTCATAAACTCTTGATTTTGCAAACATTTTGAAGACTTTCGGTCCTTGTGAAATAATTCTAACGCATGCAGTCTTTGCTGTTTTTATTATACTCCTTATGTTTTTCTCTTGGTGTTACTCATTACAACTGTGTACTCATATATTGTGCTGTGTACGCGTGTATTTGTGTGCGTCTGCAAAGATCATTTGCCTTGGAGTTTTATCTGTGGGAACTGTTTGAGATCTTGGTTGAATTTATTCTCATCAACTCTATGGAGATACTTTGAACCCAGAACCAGTTTAAAATTTTTGCTGAGAAATTTTAAACTAAGCATGTGGTATGAGGTTGAGCTGCCAACTCCACAACAGGTCCAGCGTGAACTTCCAGATTTTCAGGATTATTTCCACCTGTGACATTCAAAGTCAAGACACGTACATGTTTCATGCCTTTGCTGACTTCTTTCTGCTCAACAAGACAACTGATTTTGACTTTTTCAAAATTTATTTTACCTTATTTCTTCCATGAGACACACACACACACTCACACACAAACACACATCCAGAAGGCACACCCAACAGGGGATTCACACTGCTATCTGCCCACCTTTCAACCAGATGTGGCCTCCATGGATGCTCTTGATATATTCAAGTCTTCCAGAGATCTGTGCCCTGGGCCTCCCCTATGCCTCTCACATTGCACAATGGCAGCTCCTGCCACCACACCTGGGCCTGGTCCTTGACTTTTATATCTGCTCTAGCTATTTGGAGTTCCAGTTTTATGTGGCCATCTGTGTCATAAAAGGCCTGCTTTGTCATGTTCACAGCTTCTTTTCCTCCCTCCTGTGCCCTGAGCAGTCCTCAAAATGGAGGATCAAAGTTACCAAATTTAGGTGAATACTCTCATGATGAAAGCTAGTGTTGGCCCTCTCTTCCTCCTTGATTTCTAACTTCCACTTCATGCTTGACCTAACATTTCTTAGTTTCTTTATTTCAAGAAAAACAGCATTTCTTTCTTATCCTATTTATTTAAAGCTTTTTCATTGGTAGATTGAGAGATATTTATTTGGATCATCATACTGCCATAAAAAGTAAACTATAATATGGTGCCTAGAATTTTAAACTTTTATATTAGCCAGGTAAAAGACTCGTATGTCGTGTACCTTAAATAAAATAGATGAAAGAGTAACTAAGAGTTGTTGCCTGAAAGTAAGCAAACAAACTGACAGAGAGAACCTATGGACAGTTTTCCTTTATCTTTCCTTCTTTATTATGTGTTGTTGTTACTGTTGTTTTTGTGCTGGAGGACATGTGTACTTGCTAGAGAGACAGAGAAGAGAAAGCACCCAAAGTGGGAAAGCACCCTTTTGGGATTTTTGGTATGTGAGCAAGTGTGCCTGGCATGTTTCTCGAGCCTCGGGTCTAGGACTTGAACTGTGCAGTCTGTCATGTGAGATCCAGTTGCCCTAACCACTAGGACATGGAACTGGCTGTAAGGACCCTTTTCTAAATGCATCAAATGCAGTTATTACAATTGTTTGCATTTTAAGGAACAAAAGAAAAATTCAAGCTTGACATGCATATTGTAATGAATTAATTAAGTAAAAAAAAAAAGGAAGATTCTTATTACTAAGCTATCACCTGCTGGCAGGTCACAGGTCCTGGATCAGAAACTAGTTTAGAAATTGTAAGGCTTATGCAAGGGTGTTAATGAAACCACTGATCCACGCATTGAATAAGCGAGGTCGCACTTTCAGACGAGATGAGAGACAAGCTCCCAGAATCTGGAGTAGAACGGTATGACGGTTTGAGACTGGGGATCATGAAGGTTGTTGACCTCCCCCTCCTTCTATTTCTGTTCTAGCATCTTTCTTTCTTTTTATTTATTTATGTACTTATTTATTTATTTATTTTCATTTCATTTTCTTCCATACATTCATTCACATTATTATTTGTCTTACAAAATGGATATTTCGACAGGTGAATATTTCTCCCTAGTACTGTTGATAAAACTACGAAATATTTTCAACAGATAATATCAGACCTCTTTGTGCCATTAATGCCCTAGCATATTTCTTTTAATTAATAACAAAAGCTACATGTTACCAGAGCCAACATCTCTTTTTGCCAGCAAAGGAAATTTTTTTCATTCATTTTCCTAATCTAACTACATCCAACGTTTTCTAAGGTTGTCTTTTTTTTTTCATCAGGTGACTCTGAGTTCCTGTTGGATATGTACCATATCTGTAGGAATCCAAATGCCAGATTTATTTTTTTTTAACTTCTGGGAGAATCTTGTTTGTATAACTGAGTAGTTGCCACACCATTTGCTATGAGATGTACCTAGTTGTCATTTATCATTTCACCAGATGTTGCTGATTCAGAGATGAACAGGATTTTGGATTATCACACGGTAAATCTCTATTTTTTGGGGGGGAGAGGGAGAGGTTTTTGCTATAGGGCATGTGTGCTCGCCAGAAAGACAGAGAGAGACAGAGAGATAGAAATCAAGAAATCAGTTTCCCCCAGGGGGAATGGCCACGTGGCTGTCCCTTCTCCTCCATTCTCCTCTTGGGATCTTGGGCACGCACACACACGTGCCAGGCGTGAGTTTAAGCCACAGAGTCCAGGACTTGAACTGTGGTCGGCTACATGGGTATTCAGCGACATAGCCATTACGCTAACTGCTGGTCCCAAAATCTCTATTTTTTAATAAGTAAAAAATAAACAGATTAAATCACAGTAATTAAGAAACTTTCTTAAAGTTACCCACCCTACTAATTGAAATATATTTATGTTAAAAATATCGCACATCCAGGGCACCAGGTGACGTGGTGGTTAAGGTATTGGTCCCACATGACTGACTTCGTGGCTAGAGTCCTGTGGCTGGTGGCTTGAAAACACCTCCGGTGCATGTGCATGTGGACACAAAATCCCGAGAGAAAGGAAGAGAAGTGATTGTGGTGTGGCCATTTTTCCTGGGGGGTGATGTCTCACTTTCTCTCTGTCTCTGTCTTTCTTAGGTGAGTGCACCCTATGGCAAAAATCTAGAACAATAATAATTATCCCAAATCCCT